TTGAACCTTGAGGTGCACTTTCACAGAAAGCCCTGCATTACTCTGCCTGAAACCTGGCAGGCCTCATGCTTGCACAGGGGGCTATCATCCCTGCTGTTTTCATCCTGCTCTGCCTTAACACACACAAGTGATATGAGTTTTGCTTTCAACAGTTTGAGGTGCACTTTCACAAAAACCCTTGCACCTATCTCCTTGAAACTTGGCAGGAGGAGGGAGATAGTGCATGGCAACCTGCTCAGGAGAGCAGCACCAGGAAGGGAGGGGGCCACAGAATGATTCATGCTGGGAGGGCCCACTGTGCTTCTGGCTCCTGCCCCCAACCCCCTCAGCTCTGTGTGATAGTCACCCTAGTGCTGCTGTTGAGCAGGGCAGAGTGGGGAGGAAGTGGGCTGGAGCATATGGCTGGAGGTGTGGGGGGCACTGCAGTGGGAGCCTCCCCCTCCCTCCCACAGGTCAAAAGCAACTTGACTCCAGGCTCATACCCCATGGTCCTTGCAGTGCTTCAGGGGTCACCAGCAATGGTGCCCAGGGAGCCCGGGACTGCACATGCGTTCATGTGTGTGTGGTGCCCCCCTGACCATGGCACCCTAGGTGGTCAACCACATCATCCATCCATAAGGCCAGCTCTGGTACCTAGGCTACAACTTAACTTATGAAAATCAAGTTGAAGACAATACTCTATATCTGCACTAGAAAAGTGTAGCTTCCTAGGATAGGTTTGGCTAAACTGAATTAGCAGGTGGCATCTAAGCAAAAGTAGACTAGGATTTCTCTGCCTAGGCAAGACAAGGCCTCAGAGGCGTTGTCACAGCCCAGCATGCTCATTGGTATGCTTCCAGCTGAGTTGGGGCATGCTTAGTTCCATCCTTCCACTGTTGACATGGCCTACAGAAACACACAGATTCACTTTCCCAACAAGCTCTAAAATTTAAGGGCTCCTGTAGACATGTGGAGAAGCTACTCCAATACACTATAATGACAGTGCATCAGAGCAGACTTGATTAATCAAGCCTACTGAAGCATGCACTTTAAGTAAAGCTCATCAAACAAGCTAAATACAAGAGACTGCAGGTGCTTTACTTAGAACCACTGTAATTAAAGTGCCCCTCCTATATGTAAAGCACCCCCTCCCCCCAGAGCACATATAAAGATGCCCTAGCTTTCAGATTTTAACAAAGAAGTTCTTCACTGTCCTAATGTTGATGTCTATTACATATGCAAGGAAGTGTTAACTTCTAAATGAAAGTCTTGTAAATGAATGAATGTCTTGTTAACTCTATTCTACAAGCACCTACAAACAACAAAAAGCCTTGAAACAACTGTTCTTCTTTACCATAATTATAGATGAGTAATCTAACAGCTTCAAAAGAATTGGAATGCCTGTCCACATGTTTTTTCTAAGGTGCAAGACAGCCAGGGAGCTGCTTTGGAGTCTTTGGTTCTGGTTTTGTTTGACAATAATTTGACTCAGATTGGGAAAGATGAATCCAGCCAAGTTGGTGTAGGAAGATGAGCAAATGAAAAATGGTATCTTTCACCACAGGTATATTTAATGTAATTACTCACTTGAAGCTATATTAAATCAATACCTTGTGGTTGGAAACATTTACACATTGAAGAATTTGACATGAACTTCCCTAAACAGAAGACTCAGCTGTGGAAAAGACTGAATGCAGCAAGTAATTTAAAAAATCCTGAGAAAAGAACACCAAGGAAAATTAAACTCATTAAAAGATGATTTGGTAATTAAACTTTAGTGGCAAAAGACTCTAGGAAATACTTTGGTATAGGTAGACTGGTTAGAGGCAGCAGGAACCAATTTACAGAGGAAGCAAGAGGCTTTGCTTACAACAAAGCAAGTCAATGGCCTAGATTAGAATTTAAGGTTTGAGGCAAAGGAGGCCTTATTAGCTGCTAACTTGCAGAAAGCTTTTGATAAATTAGTGGACAATTTGGCAACATGTGAACCTTAGCCCATCAGACCCTATTGGAAATTATTTAAGGTTAACCAGCCTTGACAGCAGTATAATTAAAAGCTCCTACCTCTCCCTCTTTAACCCAGCATGATATCCTTTGGAGTTGTCATTTACTTCCAAGCAGTAACAGTTGGTTAATTTTTGGTGGTCTAAAACCTCTCGCCAAATGGAATTTCTTGCATATATCCATAACATTCTTTCTTTCTATATTTCTTCTAAGTGCCTTAGTGGACCATAAATTCATCATGGTATTTTGATTGCTCATAGACAGCATTTTTTAAAAAGAGTTAGTTAGTAAGTTACTATGTGGTTCTCTCAAATATGGTGGGAAACAGTTGGCTTGCAATTTAAAAAATATGAAATGAATGGCACTTTTTCAAGAAAATGAAGGTCTAAAGTTATGCCGTGGGAAATCTGAGCTAGCACATACTCTGAAGAAGTTCAACTTGATTTAACTTGGTCTGTATTAGAGCTGAAGTGTGTAAGACATTAAAATGGGGCAAAATAAAAATTAGCTTTAATTAGCTTTTAATGCCTAATAAGTTGTATTAGTTGGAAATAGTCCTATTTTAACTGTTCCAAATGAAAGAAGCAAGGTAGGGTGCAACTAGATGTATCATCTAAGAACTGCACCACAAGAAATCCATCTAAATTGAGTGATAAAAGGAAACATTTTTAGGTCTTGGTAAATTAGCTTTCCAAAAATTAGAACAGACCTGACTAGGAATTATTTTTTAAATTCAGATAAGAAAAAACATGTCATCATTCCCATTATCTCCTTTTTTTTTTCTCTGTATGCAGGAACAGACTCAAAATACGAATTTAATTAAGAGGACCTTTCTTACAAACCTTTCAGTTTTTGTCTCCTGTGGTGGTGAGAGGCCTGCCCCAGAACAAGAAGTAGACGTTGTAGGTGCACTTAGTCCAGAGTGAGGTCGGGCAGAAGAATAAAAGTTGCTGCCATAGCTACTGTATCTTAAGTTGCCAAAACAAGAAGTGGGAGGCAGAAGGGAGAGAAAAGCGAAAAGAGACAGAAAATAATCAGTCAGAAAGTGGACAAGAGGCAGAGAGCCCTCTTTACTCATAAACAGGGAACAAAGGATACTCCAGAACTTTGTCAACTTTTAAGTTTCTAAGTGTAGTGTCTTTAGTTCCAAACTTTGAAAAAGGTAGCCTATCAGCTGAATTTAATATAAAGCATATCAAGGGCATTTTAAATATTGCATGTGGAGTTATTGGTCTGAAGGTTAAAAGAGATTAGAATGCAACTTTAAAAGAAACAGCTGCAAGTTGGAATATGTAATTGACTGCTCAGTTACTCAGAAATTTACTGCCTAGTTCAGAATCTGATAATCAACCATTAGAAAAGGAACCAAAAAGATCAATATCAGAAGTATCATTCCTAGTGAAATAAAGGAAAACACCAGTATTCCCCATGTGTCATCAGAACACAAACTCACATGATTTGCTAATGTTTATGCTATAAATGAAAAGCATCCAAATTCATTTAAATTAAAACACTCAGTATTTTCTTTCCCCAGCCCCCATCATTTCCCCATCATGTCTTATGATGCCTGTAAAAAATCATCACTGCGGTTAAAAAGGCATGTCTCCGGAAGTACGGCTTTAGGAATTTCTACCATCCATTCACTCCGTTAAAAAAAAATGTTGAACTTCAATATGAGCTTACTGATCAAAGAGAAATTGTTTCCAGGACTCTTGGAATGGTCACCTCCCCAGAGCCCCATGCATCAATGTTTTCCTCCTGGCTTTTCTACTGAGTGGAAAAGGCAACTACCCTACTTTTATGTGCCTCCTAACCGCTCCACTGTCATAATTAAATGACAAGTCAAGGATGTGTAAGAGGCTCTGGATTTGGAAAAGTTATAGCATTCCTTTTTACTTTTCACTAGAGAGAAAGGCACCTTTCTTATTAGGATTTTCTCCCATCTGGTAGGTGGATTATTCCATAAAGTCAACCCACCAAAATGATAAATGTCCAGGCAAGAAAAGTACAAAGTCATTTTTGTTTTAACAGCTCATTACATTAAATTGACCTTGTTTATCTTGTCCCTCATCTTCCCTCTTAAAATGTCAGCATGGTATACCTTCTCTTCATCCAGGCATTTTATTTGAACACCTAGGCGTCTTTTCCAGCTAAATTTAATCTTGCTTCCCATGAAGATCCAAACATTCTTTGGAATATAATCTGCAGCACTGACCACCATGATCAGAGTTAAGGCTAGAGTTAAATTTAAAAGATAAGGGAGGAAGGGATTTTACCATGAATACATCTTCCCCACATTGTTTACTTTGTGACAACATGCATGTTTTAACTCATTCCTCAAGCCTGTGAGTTGGCTTCAGGATGATTTCTCTGAATACAGAAGGAGACATCAAGAGAAGGAACTGAATGGAGACTTTCTATACAAAACGAAAATCTGGGAACTTACTTTCTTTTAGTGTCTGTGGACCAGAATCTGCTTGGAAAATGGACAGAGACCTTGAGGGCCTGCATAGCACAGGACTCCTTTGTTATAGAGACATGAAGTTGCAATTGGTCTTTGCTTTGACATAGATTCAATGTGTGGGTAGAAACAAATCAATAAATTTATATACCTCTCCTTCTCAAACTCAGAAATGAAGATAACAGTTAAAAACACTTCATAGGCTGGTATGAGGATTACCGTATTTTCTCGCATATAGCCTGTACGCTGATATAACCCGCACCAATGTATAACCAGCGGAAAATTGTATTTTTGGAAAATAGTCCATGTATAGACTGCACTCATGTATTCCCCGCACCTGACAGTGTCAGTGCCGGGGGCGATTTTAAGCCTATTAAGCCTGAGAGGTGCAGGCCCCAGTTGCGGCCACTCACTGCTGGTGTGCGGGGACCAGGCTCTTACCGCCCATCTGCAGCTGCCCCCCGAGACATGGCTGCAAGCGCGGCCGCCCAGTCAGAGCTCAGGCGCTGGGTGGCCTCCGCCGGGCCCCACTGCATGGCTGCAGAGGAGAGCAGTTGGGTGTGGGGCTCCCGCATGTGGCGGGAGGGAGGCAGCGCGGGCTCTGGTGGGCATGGCCGCTGGAGCCGGAGTTGAAGCTGGAGCTGGCTAAAAGTGGTGCTAATTGGTGCAGGGGAGGGGAGGGATGAGGAGCTGCAAGCAGGGGGGTGGGGGAGGCAGCCCCGCTCCCTGCTGCTGCCAGCCGTGCTCAGACCAAACCTGCCGGGGCTCACCACCACCCTGACATCAGCCTGCAGCCGGGGATGGGCAGGCACAACGTGGGCAGCGGCGGAGCCAGGGGCTCATGGGTAGGGTTTGCTCCGCGCCTCAACCCCCATTTCGGGGCTCCCCCCCAACAAGACCTTCACCCGGGTCCTCTGCTCCTGGCCCTCAGCGCCCCCAGCCCCGCAGCCATGCAGCCCCCGCACCTGCCTCAGCAAGGCGGGTTTTTCACGCCTAAATCTTATTTTCATTAAAGACTGTTCTAAAGACTCTGCATAGCCCACACCCTTGTATAGCCCGCATCCATCCATCATGTTTGTAAAAACTTATATAGCCCGTGGACTATATGCAAGAAAATACAGTAATTATTGTACAAGGCTTTGAGAAATGAAACCCGCTATGTTGGCCAAGTATTAAGCAATGGAATAGTAAAGCTCAGTTGTGTTTGAAGGGTTATACAGCTTACAATAACTAACTAATAGTTATTTAAATGTTCCTATGTCTGTCAACAATAAATGACATTGGTGTGGGTTCAAAACTACAGAAGCCTTATTAAACTACTTATTAAAAATAATAATTACAGGTTGAAATTTGGCTTTTCGTGTTAAAATTCAGTACATTATTTTGTATTAAAAAACCAATAAAAATAAATTTTTAGTCTGTACAAAATATTTACCAGATGACTATTGAAAACATGCAATGAGAACTTGCTAGCATGTGCAATAAGGGCAGTATAACTACTAATTTGCTGTTAAACCTCTGAGTGTTATTAATAAGCAATTATTTTATAAATCTGATTATGTAAGTAACTTTAGAAAACTTATTCAAGTTTATAGTTGAAAGCTTTAATTTAAAATGTTATTTTCATTTGAAGTATAAAAAAACCCCATTTCTTTCCATTTTGTTCTAGACTATTTTAATATTTATATTTAATGCACATGAGGCCAAGATGATACCCCTATGATGGGATACCAACTGGAAGAAATTACATCTGTGCTCTTGATGAAGGAGATTCTATTCCCTGCTTCTCCCCTCCCTGTCCTGGATCAAAATGTACAAGCGTTCATTCTTCAGAGACAGTTTGTCTTTCAAGGGAGATCTTCCAGGTGCCAAGCTAGAAGCTTTTTCCCCGAGAGGGGGCAGGTTTCCTCTGGGAGAGACTGAATGACTGCTTGTATGCTCCTAGTTTCTACCAGGAAAGCAGTGATTCTCCAGCAGAAACATAACGCCTGTATGTAGCCTATCACATTTATCAGGCCCAATATGCTCAGCAGCTGGATGTGCTTTACTTTAGCAGCCTATGGATAATCATCCTAAGCAATGACACAGGACAGCTTCTTCAAGGCTAGGGACAGAAATGATGCATAAACTGGTATAAGTGGTCTGAAACCACTTCAAATCTGTAACACAACAGAAGTTCAGTCCACAAAAAACACTTTTAAATGGCCAAAACCAATTTAAGATAAACCTGGATGGATGTAGTATCAGACTTAACTGATGTAGATTAAATCAGTTTATTCAACTTCTGTCCCAGATCCCTTCCCAGATTCAAATTGACTCACAGTCCTTCAGCATCCCAGGATGCTTTGTACCTTCCCTGCAACCCCCTCTTCCCCCTCCCTCCCAACAGGGTGGGTAGGCTAGCCTTGGCCCAAGCAGCCTGCTCCAGCTGAGCAGGAAGGTGTGCTCTAGCACCTCCTCTCACCCCCAGCTTCTGGCCTGGGCCACTGCAGGCATGTGGCTGCATCTCCAGAATCAAAAGTAAATGCCTGTTCACTTACTTATTAGTTCAATCTATGCAGCTTATACTAACCTGTGAAAATTCAATCAATTTAATCTCAGTCTTTTTGACTGTCTGTACTGAGCCCAAAAGATGAAAAGTGATCAGAGAAACAGATTTAAAGCACCATAAACCTACATGCACACTGTCTTACTGATCATTTGTACTCCTCTCAAGTCCCTAGATAGATGTGATTTAACTTGAGGGCCTCCTGTAAGGCTTTAGGGGATAAAAACTCTCCAATTCTCATGGTACATCTATGCTGTTGTTTGAACTGACTCTGAGGCTCACTCTTAGCTTGTCTTACACCTCAGGAAAAAGAGATGCCTTCCCATCTACATCACTTTACTGTAGTTGCATACCAAACACAGAAGGAAAGAGGAGTAATGAATGGTCAGACTGATTTGTAGAGGAACTTCACCCAAGCCGTTCTAGGACCAAGTCTGCTGGCTACTTCTCCTCCTCCAGTTTGGCTCTGTTACAGTTCAGTAGAGCAGGAAGTCTAATGCTGGCAAACTCCCTGTGCTTGTGACTATAATCCAAAATGAATTCTGAACATGCTGCACGGGAAGGGCTTGACTTCAGGCCCTGAAACCTGGGAGAGCTTCTGGAGGCAGCTGGACTGCTGCTGGGGTAAGCAGAGGGTTTTTAATGTTGCTGGCCCATGGGACAACCTGACACAGCTGTACAGACATGCCCTCAGTCAGTCAGTATTGGTCTGTAGCATCTGGCAGGCCTTCCTCTCCTCACTCTCCCTAGTGCTGATCTTTTAACAGTTCCCAGTTCTCAGGCTTGGCAACAGTATTTGGTCTGAGGACTCAGCCTTTCACAGCTCTAAACCTGGCTGTTGTGTATGTTGGGATGTTCTTCTAAGTCATTTTTCACCTTTGCTCCTTGGTTTCTTTTAAAAATTCCTTTGATCTAATGTTATGCCTTTAGGCAAGGTAATACCAAATCCTGGTATTTAT